AGAAGGTATACATATATATATAGAGAGCCATGCAGTATATATATGCAGGCGAATGCATGCGGACCGTAACTCGTAAGAAAATTCGGATGAACAAAAAGGATTTTTATAGCTTTGGCCTATAGGTTACAGGTGCGCTTAGAGTGAGACATTCATTAAGAAAATAAGGAAATTGAATTTATACATGTAATTTTCCAACAGGATATATGTACATGCATGATTCTTAAACCGAACATGTGTCAATAAAAGAACAAAGGTATATAGCAGGGAATTGTATGTAGAAAATCAACACAAACCTACGAGTCTATGAAGCCAGAAGGCTGAGTTAGTGCTCTATATATACGTTGAAAGAATGACATACGGTACGAGATGCTCAGACCAAGGGACCTCTTTGTTCGCCACTAATTTCTTCATTTTATGAACAAAATTCTTTTTGATCTTAAAATACATGCATATACAGCTTGAACGTCTATGTCAGGAGACGGCTCGAAACTATAAACTCACATATATAACATATAGAACATAATCTCACAAATTTAACGCCTATAGGCTATACAGGCTCTGCATGCACTGAAGAATCATGAACAAGTTAGTGAAAAAATCAGGAAAATGAAAGTCGAATCGACGAATATATGAGATAGAAACACAATATTTTTGCAACTACTATACTCATAGTAACCCAGACTCTCTAAAAGTAAACTCGTAAAACGAAGTCGTAGATGTGTGAACTCATTAGTCATTTAATACGCATCATTCTCGAACCGGTATTTTCTTGATTCGCGAATCTTCGTGGACCAGGTCGTGCATTCAAGGACATTTTCACGTATTATTTTTTGTTCAAATCATGCATGAAAGAATTTTTTATTACTGATATAGCAATTTTTACAGAATGTTCTTTAAAATATCTTTTCTCGATACCTATATATGCAGTTGGCAAACTATACTGAGTAGTGTACAGTACATTTTTGCCTTTGTACATTGGATGCAGTGTGGATTGAGCCGTTACGTACTTTGGGATCTTCAAGTCATCTTTTCTGCTATTTAGTTGGTTGTTAGCATAATATAATGGCTGATGCCGTGTTTAGGCCTACAAAATTCTCTCGTGACGTGAACCAATTTTATGAGCTATTTTAGTCAATTTGTTTTTACATTGTCGTTGTACAATTACTGTTTCATGTATTATTGAAACAACAAAGGAGAAGCCGTTTGATGCAAAAGTGTCTCCAATCATTGCAGGATAACAGAAAGTATGCAGTATGTATAGGACAAAGAGCTCGATTTCTTGCATTAGTGGTCTCGGCCCGGTCGCTCATGATCCCCAGTATTCAATAATCCATGCATATATTATAGAATATGGAGTCGAGTCCTACATCTTATTATACTTATATCTTATATATAGTTATACAGTTCATGACTCCTACGGATATACCCCTATTAAACAGACACCTTTGGGACCGCACAAATGTGTCCTCTCAAAGGAGCTGTCCGCCTAGAAGAGATTGTTATAATACTATAGTGTTATATAACACATTACAACGGCCCAACATCTCAATATACATTATAAGTGCAATCAATATACGAAAAACTCAAGTTATAACAAGGCTAATATTAATAATAAAATTATGTAATATGATGGCAATAGCTATCCATATATATCGACTATAGCTACAAACGAAATAAAAATAAGCTGTTTCACTTTTACTGTATACAAAAGATGTCAAGGGCTTTCAACGATCGAATTGAAGGCCAACAGTACTAAAACAAACAAATACATCACTATATATATATATATATATATATATATATATATATATATATATATATATATATATATATATATATATATATATATATATATATATATATATATATATATATATATATATATATATATATATATATATATATATATATATATATTATATACATATACATATACATAACAAAATCGAAGTATACAAAAGAATAAAGAGTAAGCAAATTTCGTGCTGACCAACATATTGAAGACCCCAAATCAAAATAACTCGTTTGCAAACAAGTCAATATAACAATTTGTTCATGAATGTTCCAATTGTATGGTAATCTGTTGTTATAATAAACACGTTTTTGAAGTCTTTGTGCAACCATGAAGCAGCTAAATACTCCAAATGAACACTTATAACTATAGATATTCAAACGACTGGTGTAAAAGATGTGTCAAAAACCCCTTTGTCCTATAATAGCCGGTGTCATTGCAGTTACATCGTATAAGTGCATCATAAAACAATAGAAAATTCAATAATAAAAAACAAATTAAAATTTGAACTAATTTCTCCTGTTAACCTGCACACAAGAAACAGCCGATACTTGCAATCCACAAATGAAACTTTATTTAATAGCATTTGATACAAATCGTTAATTCAAGAATATATTATAATATTATGTATTCACTGGACATTATTCATTAATACATTTATGGTAAGTTGCTTCAGGCTCCGGGATGAATTGCAATAAATTTCTTTTATATAAAATTGTGAAATAAATGACAAAGATAAAAAATTGAAATAAAAAGAACAAATTGAGTGAATATACATACGGCATTTTCCAAGGCAAAGACAAATAAAATATCAGTTGCCAATCAAGCACGTGTCAATTTTCTTCTGAAATTTACATTTTCGGTTATATATACAGGCTGTCCCGCAAAAGTGCAATAGCTATGTTCCAGAATTTTATACAGCTATAGCTATTTGTGAGCATCGAAACTTTAATCTAAGAAATGAATTTTGATACTGAGATTATTAAAATTGTCCTGAACTAACCCTAACGCCCGTATTCTAAAAGCTCACTCACACTCACACTCACACTCAATGAGTTGAGGTTCAATCTGAGCTTCTCTTAGGTGCCAGTGCAGTTTGTGAATAGCTGGAGGGTTAGTATCGTACCTTAATATGTGACTAATCACCCTCCAGTTATACAAAAACAGCTTTGACACTCAAGAGAAGCTCAGATTGAACCTTCACTCATTGAGTGTGAGTGAGCTTTTAGAATACGGGCGTAACCCTTCATGTAATGGCTGTTTAAGCAAGGAGTCATGAAACCTACTGATTTATACTCAACAAAACTGATGCATGATTTCAATGGTCCACTGCATGAGTGAACCATCGATCACAATCAATGAGTCTCTCACGCCTGCATTCTAAAAGCTCACTCACGCTCACACTCAAAGAGTGGAGGTTCAATCTGAGCTTCCCTTGAGTTCAATGCTGTTTTAGAATAGCTGGATGGTTAGTGTCGTACCTTGCTATATGTGACTACTTAACCTCCAGCTATTCAAAAACAGCATTACACTCTCAAGGGAAGCTCAGATTGAACCTCCACTCTTTGAGTTTGAGTGAGCTTTTAGAATAGAGGCGTCAGTCTCAATAAGTGCAACTCAACATTCAAAGGGTCCCCACTCATCCTCCAACCGTTCAAAGACAGCACTCACCCTCAACTTATTGGGCCCGAATTTGAGTAAACGATATACGTCCCTTTAGCATCACTCTTTTGAATGTACCTAGCGATGTCAACATTGATTGACAGGTTGCTAAACAGATCAGCATACTTGAATAAAGTTCCACCAAATAGCAGAAATGAACGGACATTAAGTTATACTTATTGTGAGAGCTATGTCGAGCAGTTCCAAGCCAGATGCATGTGTTAACACAGGGAGGTTTTCGCAGTCTGCTTGGACATAATCGGACGAAATATATCTGCAATTAATGAACGTGCATATCTCATCCTTGCAGTTCTTCAACTTTTTTAGACACTTCGGTATATGCAACAGGTACATGACAATTAGAATGTGGAATTCTTGTGCAACTTTCTGCAGCTAGCAGAATGTCGTGTTATCAAATGCATACCCGAGGCAATTGCGTGGTCAAGAATGAGTACACTGGATTTCGTCCATGGTATTTGCTACGACGAACTACACTCGGTGCCTTCCCTTCTCCATGTACAACTGACTGTACAGACATGTAAATGTCATGATTCTAAAACATGTGAATCCACTAACACTAATAAGAAACGACAGGCGCTACTCAGACAAGTCGCACTTGAGTAAACTCTATGAACACAAATCAACAAGATCTTTTAGAGAATGAGTGCTCTCCCAGTGGGCGGAACGTGCAGAGACTCATTCTCCACTCGCACTTCAATCCCACTTGAGTGTACCTCACTTGAATGTTACTTAAGGGTGAGAGTGAATGAGCTTTTAGATATTGGCGTTTACTCTTGAAACAGCCAAAACATGCACTGGTTCCACTAGACCAACTTTAATAATCTTACGCCCGTATTCTAAAAGCTCACTCACACTCAATGAGTGGAGGTTCAATCTGAGCTTCTCTTGAGTGTCAATGCTGTTTTTGAATAGCTGGAGGTTGAGTAGTCACATAGTAAGGTACGACACTAACCCTACAGCTATTCAAAAACAGCATTGATACTCAAGAGAAGCTCAGATTGAATCTCCACTCATTGAGTGTGAGTGAGCTTTTAGAATACGGGCGTTAGTGTCGAAATTCATTTCTCAGATTAAATTTGCGATGCCCACTATAATAATGATCTGTGTAAAACTGTAAATATCTTGAACATACCTACGTTTTTACCATATGACATCTTTATTAGTGTTCTGCTAATTCGCCCTATACTTCATGCTGTAGTTTTAGATTCATGTTCCACAAATTGGTTAAAACAACCCAATTTATAGGGATATATCTTGAAGGATGAAAAATATTTGATTTCACACAAATTGAAAACCATCTAAACCTTTATGATCTAATTACCATGTCTCGTCCCGACAAAAAATCTCCCAAAAAATGCATCCCTGGTTCTGCACACTTCTCCTGGAGCCTTATTTTAGCTGTTCTAAAGGATCGTGTGCAATATGGAACAACACATAGATGAAATACACTTAGAATATTAACATATATTGTGCTATTTAAACACGATTTAGCTATTTAAACAAGACAAAACCTTGAAGGTCTATAGTAGTTATCTCAGTAAGGTTATCTCAGTAAGCAGGTTGCTTGAAGGGGAATCTTCAAGGATTGTGAACTGTACAATTAGTATATGAGAACAAGGAAATGCACGCATTTTTCAAATTTCCAAGGGAGCACAAAAGGCATATTGAATATCCACCTTCTTCTCCTTCGCCTTTATCCAGATGGGGGCCATGCAGACTTCACAAATTGTATGTTGACGCGAATAAACTTCAGCTTGAAAATCCTCTTCTCCTACAGGGTTATGCCTGCAATTCTCTTTTCAAAATACCTCCTTAGGTTTCTACAATATCTCTGATTTCATCATCTATCTCATCTAACCTCGCTGTATCTTTTCCCTCTGTTCTGCCAGCGTGCTTAAAACTTTACATTCTCGCTTATATTATCTTTGATATCGCAACAACGTCAGCTTCAGCACTTGTGTCACCATCCCTGCGTCTTTTTCGTTATAATACATATTCCAGCTCTTTTCTTTCACAACCAACACTATGATAACTCGTCTCACAACTCTTGCGTATACCTTCAATTTGTATCTCCTTGGCATCATCCTATCCAACACCACAGAGTGAACCTCATTCACTTCGAACTATAGCTCTTCAATATGTCCTCTTTTGGACATCTTCTTCATTTATTCCATGTTGACCATTAACCTCTCCCCGTGTTTCAAACTGTTTGAATATGTGTCTTATATCTCTAATATACTCTGTTTCTGCCTTAGCACTATTATACTTTTAGCCCCCCTTATATTAGCGAACTTAAGCAAGGCTTACGCCTGTATTCTAAAAGCTCACTCACACTCAAAGAGTGTAGGTTCAATCTGAGCTTCCCTTGTGTGTCAATGTTGTTTTTGAATAGCTGGAGGGTGAGTACTCACATAGTAAGGTACGGGACTAACACTCCAGCTATTCAAAAACAGCACTGACACTCAAGGCAAGCTCAGATTGAACCTCCGCTCTTTGAGTGTGAGTGAGCTTTTGGAATACAGGCGTAAATCGTCTAGTACGGGGACGTGGCAAGAAACAGGCTAACATTTTACACTTTTACTAGTATAAGAAAACGAACAGAAATTAACCCAAGCAACATCCCACAGCAGTGTTAGACGTCACCGTTGCTCTGTTTACAACGGCAAAATACAGATTATTACGGCTTGAAATTAACGCTTACATTTCAAGCTGGTGAAAGTCCTACTTTCAATTGGGCTGTACAACCCCTCTCAAAAATAAACCCTGCGTTAGCCTTGATCCTTAAATTGTATTATTTTTATACGATGGATAATAGACGACATGTTTTCTTCTTAAATCATTTTGTTCAAGGAGTTTGTTTGCAGTCACCGTCTCGTTCCCGTTTTACATGCTAAAGGTCGACATAGTCATACCACTTCACGACCCTTCTCTGTAGATTTTCTTTGCATTATTCCCATTATGACCAAGTTATCCTCGTACATAATCACCAGACCTCGTATACCAGTTCCCAAATTCCTTCTGCAAGTTCCAATGAATTAGAACTACATAAAGGACTACTAAAAATAGAAAAGGGCTCAATACTGAGCCCGGTCCTACACTCACTGAACTCATGGTACACAGTGGTCCTTCTCTGTTCACGTACTCTCTGAGCTAGAGTCTTGATTCTCTTTACTCTACTACCTCTATACTCTTCCATTACAAAATCTAGAGATAGACACTGACCCTTTCTCTCTCTCAATATCACGCACGGTAATATCATAGCTACCTCGAAATCCTTTGTTTCGCGAGGGACGATTAATGACTAATTTACCTCATTGCTAAAACATGAGGGGCGTTTAGAAACTAATCATCCCACGGGACGATTAGTTACTAATCGTCCCTCATCTTTATGCATAACCTCTTACATTGATGTTCAATTAAATATTTGACAGACATGAAAAATCTACCGTAGTATCAAAAAGCAAATGTGCCTTTTCGTTTCAACTTATTCAATCGAAACTGTTTTATTGTCTCGGTAGCTATGATATTACAAAGTGATAGCATGGCATTACGGTCGATTAGTGATGAAATGTCCATAAAGCTCGAGAGGTTTAGCAAAAGTCACTCGCCGCTGCGCGCCTCGGGGCCTTTACTAAAGCAGGTTTTCCACTAGGCGGAATTTTGCGCGCGGAGCGGAATTTTTCTTTGTCTTGTGATTTCTCGGGTGGAACTAATTAGAAAAGACAAAGAAAAATTCCACTCCGCGCGCAAAATTCCGCCTAGTGGAAAACCGGCTTAAACCTCTCTCGGCTTTCGGGTACATCACTAATCGCCCTGAATGCCATGCTATTACTTATAATTACACTTATCAACGAAACAAAGAAAAGACGGAAGTGCCCCCAAATAACAATCATTCAACAACTGAAGAATGCCAATATGAAGTTAAAGTAGCGGCAAGGTTGTAGTATCATAAACAATATAAGGTTGTTGTGAATTTCGTTCTCACAAAACGCATGCTGGTATAACAGTGGTGGGTAGGAATACCGAGGAAGGAAATTAGGTTGCCAACATATATGACAATCTTTTGTAGCTGGAAATCTGAGTAATTTTAAAAACTATTTTGGCTTGTTTTCATGCAATAGATAGCTTAATTTTTAGCCTACGAAGGCTTTCATGAAAGATTATTGTTACAGCTTTGTTACCGTACAATATTTCAAGGGGAAATTCCACCTTAAAGCCGTGGTTACACTGCGAGTCTTGGCCTAGCTTGGTTCGTGCCTTGGCACTTGCCATACATTTTGGGAGTTCAAAGAAACTTTGGCATAACCTACACAAAATGAAAATGACCGTCAACAATCTTTTTCTCAAACCAATGTTATTCTACCACCAACGATTAAAACAACCAAAGAACATCCACCAAAGATAATGTAAAAAGACAACAAAGAAATTGAAAAAAATGATTTGGTAACTTCGATATAAATATATAGAATAAAATTCATTTAAGGAAAAACAACAACTTGAAATTCATTATTGGGACATTATATTGAATACAAAGTGATGAACAATGGAAAATGGGTCTGTTTATTAAGAAAGGAAACATTGCATGGCTTTGAAACCACAGAACAGAGATTCCTATTCTGTGTTTTAAACAATACCAGCTCCATTCTATGACCTGATATCAATCGGATTATATCAATATCAAAATCTACATAATGACCTTCCACGCCTACGATATTATTTGTCCCAAGTGAAAACACGAGGACAAAGTTAATATTATTAATAAGTAACTTCATTCACATGTGCATCTAAACCTAAGGCATGCAACACATATGTTAGTGAGTGGAGTACTTTAACAGAAACAGGTACATGAAGATCCACATGTCTGATCTTCGACAGAGCAGGTTTCCACTGCACTTTATCTGCAGAAGAAAACGCTTCAACTTCACACTATTCCACTATAAACTGGAGTCACAAAACATATCTAATTTACAGTATTTATCTTGGTAATTATTTTATACTTGTTACAATTGAAGTGTACATTGACACCGGCACATGTATTGTAAAAACATGCATAATCTCTAAGTATAAAAAGTAAACAAACAGTTTGTCAAGGAATTAAACTGGAAGTATAATCCAATTATTATTTGTAATTGGATCAACGATTAACCTTACATACAAAATACCAAATAATTGTGATCGTTTGCCACGTTATTATTGTAAACAGGGCACTATATATTTATAATGGCGTGAAATAATACTTCAATATAAAATTAAGTAACCAATACATGGTGACCATGTATGTAAAGCCTTAAAATATAGCTAGACTATCATTGTGAATTTTAAAGCTTAACCCTGTAAGTTGCAATACGCCATAATGTTCCCTATACTTCATTATGTACATTGTACTTAAAAATAGACCAGTGTAATTGATCGCTCTGTCCCTTGATGGGCGTTTCACATCCTATATAGGGTCGGTTGTTTAAAGCTGGATTAGCGCTATATCCCTCAGTTAAAATTTAACCTGCTGTTTTAGTTTATGTATTTCTGCACGTCAGAAAGAAAACTCCTATACTGATCCAGACAGAATTCAAAGTTTGATTTGAATTTTAGGTTCAAACCTATAGGGTTAAGTTAATCAGCTTTCGAACAAACGGCCCCTAATGGTCAACCTAATTAACTTGCAGTTTTAAAAATACGTTTTTTATACTATGAAGACGGCATTGCATGAACACAACATGTTGAAGTATATAACTATTTTTGTAAACATCTATCAGTATACATATAACTAGTACATGTATACATGGAATACAAGGCGCTTGAAAATAGCTGATAACATAATCTATAGCCCACGTGTATATAATGTATTTTTGGACAATTCATTGTGATCTATTCTGTTGATATCAAGCACGATATCATGTATGCACGTCATCACCACGTGCAATACCAATACCCACGAAAACTGGAAAAAGTCCAATTGGACAATTTATAAATGAACAATTTATAAAATAACATTTTCCCTAACAAAACATATACCATCAACATAAATTTCCTTTCCATGCAACAGTTTATGTTATACAAGGGTATAAAGAAATCCGTTTTATTCAGAGATACGTTATTCAAGAAATATGGTGTCTATATATAATTATGCATACCCATACAATGTGTTTTGAATGCCGAAAAAAATGGCTGTAAAAAAATAGCAGCATATTAGTAAGTGTTAATTCATCGTTTCAAATAAATATTTCCTATTCAAACAAAGTGCATATGCTTTGTATTGTTAGCTTAGATCTTTGCATATGCCTTTGGCTTTGTATCAGGAAGAATAGTACTTATTTTCTCCAAGTACAATCGTGCTGTTCTTAGGAAGTAAGTGTGGTGGAGCGTGTAAGACATGCATATGTACTTAAACGTATATAATTATATATATTTGTTAGTGTTAGTGTTAGTGTTAGTGTTATTGTAATGCATCTTATTGTGGTACAAAATAACTATATATAGAATCACTGAAACACCCTTTATATATAGGGGTTTAAAAAAGCCAAAAGGTACAGAATGCAACGAACAGAATGTCTAGTTTATATATAGACTATATTATATATAATTGTTACCTAGCTCAGTTCAAGAAGCTCCATACAAAACTTTATTTTCGTTTGTTTCGCAGAAGTATTCTGGAAACACCGACACAATATAGACAACGCGTTCAACAGAAACAAAGGAGTAAGAGTTAATAATAACATATAATACAATTAAAGTAGGCCTAACAAATTCCACAAAAGCACCTTTTGAGAACATGCAAACGTTTATACAATGATAACCTTCCTTAGGCTTATAGTTACTACGGCTAAATAGAAAACTAATAATAATTATTTGGAAAGCAACTCTGCTGATAGCAATGAGCAATCAATAGTCTGAAAATTATTGTAATTTTTTGAGGCATACAGGATGAGTCCAATTCGTCCATCCAGGCACCCTATATCCTGGGCGAAAGAATAGCATAGGATCTTCTATTTCTTCTTTGATTGATGGAATTCAGCGCGAATTTAAACTGTATACAGCGGGGGGGGGGGGGGGGGACACCCTCCCCCGAGGAAATGTACTTACTAATGTTATTATAA